ACAGCGGCCTATCATTTATTGGAAAGCTTAATTCTCAATTTATCTAGAAAAGGTGTTAGGTTAATATTTTAAATAAGAATCGAGCCAATGTTTAATGTGTGTATTGATATTTATCCCGGTAGGTGACAATACAATCTTTTGACCAAAAGTTGATCTTATCATCACCATTCTGATTTATTTTTTATTCTTTTCCAATAACAAGACAGGAAGACTTCCTCTATGTAAGAAAGGTAATCACACTGATGCGCTTAGGGTCATTGTATAGGAGGGGGTTGACAAGCCTCCCTTCCACACACACAAATAAAAAGCAATAGAGATTACATCGCAAAAATATATTTACACACGCTTTATGATAACTCATCCTACTTTCGAGCTAATAGCAGCTGGTGAGAATCGGTTCCAATTTAGTCCTTGTAGTCTTTATATTTAATTTATCAAGTTAGCATACATACAATTATTTGTCAAAAGGATTCTATGCGAATATCTTGCACACACCTAGATAGAGAACTGATTAGCCTTTAGACGGAAGCACAATATTTAGAAAAACTTGAGATTTCAGAGCGTATTTGTGATTATTATAGCAGTTCCGTGATAAATATTGTACTTTTATTCATTTATTTATTTGAACGTCTCTAAAAAAAGTGATATGTCCCAACACTTGCACCTATTAGAACAAGAATTTCAATGTGAAAAATAGTACAAATGTAATATTGTACTGGGATAAGGTGCATAAATTAAGAAAAAGGCATCTCTTTATCGTGCAACTAAAAGTTGCTGATGGCTGGCGCCATCTATCGGAATAAATATCAACTATTCTCGTTGATTTTTAATTAAAAAAATTGAAATTCAACGAGAATAGTTGATATTTATTCCGATAGATGGCGCCAGCCATCAGCAACTTTCAGTTGCACGATAAGGAGATGCCTTTTTCTTAAGAATTTCAATATCTTTTTTTTTTTACATCATCTATATCAAAGTTATGAGCGACTATTTTTATACAATTTTTCCAACGATAATTTATATACATGGAAGTATTAAAATATTTACAAGACAATGCATACAGTAGATAAATACTTCTATACATCAGATAGAAGAATGACGGAGATAAGTATTAGATAATTTGTAGGAGTTTTAGAATAAGAGTTAAACTCTTTATATATAGGAGTCTTTGCTGGAGATAAGTAGTCAGATCCTATTATTCTCTTTTGAAATTTGTAATCTTGAAATATTGGGCAGTCCAGAAACAGATATCTTAAAGTTTGGTCATCAAAGCCTCATGAAAAGCTCGAATTCTCCACTAATTGACTGAGGATAGATATCATCAAGTAACAACCCGATGTGTGATGTTCCCCAGCTCGGAGCAAGCCCTTCTACCTGAAGGTTCGCAGCAACGGTGAGACCATCGCTAACAGCAACCACTCCCAGAACGGCTTCTCCCTGCGTTATACCCAGCTGCCATGTATGATCTGGTGAGTACAATCCTTTCTATTGGAAAACCTTCTTGTGAATGGACTACCTTCCACTTGGCTCTTTCACATAGCAGTCAACTCATAGAATACCAAGAAAATTCTGACATCTCGCTTTCCCCCATAGTAAATGGACTGAAACGTCGTGTCCCCGCGGTAGGCATAGTGGGGTCGGCGATCTTCCCGGATGAGGAAATGCCGAAATGTATCAAATCGTCCCCTTAGTAGGCATCGTCCTTACTCACTTTAGTCACTTTGGGCCCAGTATGCATTCTCATCTATAAACAGACAAGACAGAAAAAAGACATATAAACAAAAAATCTAAAGAAACCCTTTTTAAATTGGCGTGGAGCAGTAATAAAATCCTAGGTCTAAAGAGGGAAGTTGAAAGTTTTTTAAATATATATAATGATTCTTGTGTTTTAACTTTAAATCATTGTTTAGTTCTGAGAGCACGTTGAATCAATTTTAAACAAATTTTAGAATTATCCGTGTTTTTGATAAAACACATTTCAGTCTACAAGACTACTGATCTCTTTAGATGAAATTTCTTTTAATTAACCCACACTTCAGTATTTAGAGAGGTAAAGCAAGAAAGGATTGATTCGATAATCCAATAAGATGGTATGGAATTTAAAGATATGAAGAGTTCAGAACAGAGTGAAATGGTACCCCATGATGGCTGACCGATTCAGAGAGCCATGATAAATGATAGAGTAAATCAACCATTTACCTGTTACATTTAAATTTTTTCTTTCTAGATTATATCGAATTTCAACTCCTTGTTTGGTGTTTGCAAATACATTTTATTTATATTAAGGTTTTCGATAGGATTTTCCAGTTTTTTTTTAAATAAATAACCAAGACTTTTACATTTGAAGGTCAATGATGCCAACGGTCAGTGACATAATGCCGTGTGTCCAGAACAACCCCCCGCTGCCAACAACCAAGATATTTATTTACTATTTATGATCCCTCCTCACCCACTTATTTATTTATTTACATGTCTAAATAAAGTCATCTGTTCCCTCTCCATGACCCTTACTCCACATTGCCACACATTCGCTCTGTGAACACATTTATTCCTATTTAAATAATTTTGACCACACACCACCCTTGTTTATTATATATCGTCCTTATTAATACACTTTTGTAAATATAAAACATGTAGTACACGCTTGTTCGGCTGTACATATACTAAAATTGGAACGATACAGAGAAGATTAGCATGGCCCCTGCGCAAGGATGACACGCAAAATATAAAACATGTATAGATAGATGTTCACAATGCAATGACAATAAAACACATAAAGCCCAAAAACGGCTCTTAAACTTTTTTTTTTCACTTTTACTAAGCTTTCGAAAATCACTTTTTCAAAACATCAAAATTCTATTTAAAAAAAGACTAATTCTTAATGTTTTAAAAAGGGGGATTTTCTAAAGCTCAATAAAAGTGAACAAAAAGTCTTAAATCTATTTTTGCCATATATTTGTCCTTTTATTTTCTTATAACATTTTCTTGGTATCAATGATGAACAAAGCATCTCCTGATCGTGATTGTTGAGCGCCATCTATCGGAATAAATATATAAAACTGAATGTTTAACCTATTTCTTTAATTAACAAGAAATGCCTGCCACCTATACCTGTTGTTTCCACAGACACAATGTGGTGCAGGCTATCCACATGGGACTTCTTTTTAATTAATAAAAAAAGGGAAAATATACCTGAATATGATACAATATGTTTTAAAAGAGATAAAATACACAGAAATAAGTTTATCATAGGTCTTTATTAATTATACAACAACAACAACAAAAAGCCTTTATTTAGGGCCTCTCGCCCTATACAGGATTCGCCAGTTCACAATGGATGGGGAGAACACTGTGTGGCCTTTTTCCGGGATATAGTCTTGTGGAATCCAAATATCGCCACCGCTATCTACCTATTCTTTGATATTTCATTAATTAGTGCCGGAAATGAAGGACAAAGTTGCCCCGTTTTATCATTTAGTTTTCGTCTTTCCTCAGACAGAGCAGCACAGTAGTCTTTATTAATTATATCATGAAAGCTATTTGAAAAATTTCAAGACACACACAACGTTTAGTTAAAATTTATTTCAATATATGGCATTTTGCCATCAACAAAGTTTAGTAGCATGATTGAGAGTTCCATAGATTCACATTGTCACTTAGACAATTAGGAAAGACAAACTTTAGGATGACAATTTATTTAAGGCACAAATTGATAAAATATAAGAGAATCAATGAGGGAAGTTTAAGTAGAGTAATAATATATATTAAATTATTTAAAATGCTTATTTTAGCTCATAAAGTTTTATTTTACAATATTTCGTATGGCAACTTGCCAAACTTCTTCGGGGAACAAGATTGTTTTGAGATGCTCGCGTATCAATTCACGAGTATGTACAAAACAAACAACAAAGAAGTTTGGCGAGTTGCCACAAGAAATATTGGAAAATAAAAATATGTGAGTTTTCGAGCAAATTACTCTTCTACTTGGCAAATAATAATTATAATAATAATAATAAAAAATAGGGAAAAAAAAGTGAGGCTATTTACAAAAATAAAAGAAAATAAATTATATCGGCGTGTAATTGCATATATACATTTCATCCTCTATTACAATTATTGACAAAACTTAAGGAAGTGAAAAGTATTTGATGTCGCCGGTCATCTGTTTTTTTTTTTTTTTTTTTTTTTTTTTAAGGAGACAGAAAGATAGGCTGTTAACACTGGGTTATATCGTGTGTCTTCAATAAAGGTCACTGTAATATCTTTCATAGTTATTGTCCCGATATACATGGTAAAAGGTACAACTTCCTTAAGTTTTGTCCATGAGTGTAATAGAGGACGGGCTTGGCTCATCAGTGGCGTATTCTTCCAGCGATTTCTCCAGTTTAATCTCCAAACCGCTCAACTATTGTGTTAAACTGAATTCCTTAATTCACAGCGAATTGGGTCTGTATAAAAAGCTTTAAATTATTATAAACACTGGAATTAATTATTAGATATATATTTAAAATGAAAAGTAGCGTATAAAATATTTCTAATTTTTAACGATAGATGGCGCCTGGTAAATGTTGGCCTTTGAAAAACTACTATGACTAAATGAGGTTCATAATACCTTGACCCTATATAATAACATAAAACATTCTTACTATGCTGTGTCCTCCATAGCTCAGTTGGCAGAGCTGTGAACTGTAGATGTTACAAATAGTGTTCCATAGGTCGCTTGGTTCAAATCCGGGTCGGGGGACTTTTTTATAGGTTATTTTTTTATCTTGTGAAAAAAAAAAGATTTAATAAGAGAATAATATTTAGCATTATATAAAAAGAATGTGACATAAACATGTGATGATATATATAGTGATTAAAAAATGGATTAAGATAATAAAAATGAGTTTGAAAATTGTGAAAAATTAAAACACCAGCGGATAGTGGGAGATCAGAAGACCCTCAGTAGAGGAAGGTATTGAAGGAGAGAGATATGGAGAGACCATGTGGCCACCCTCAGTAGAGGAAGGTACTGAAGGAGGGAGATATGGAGAGACCATGTGGCCCACCCTCAGTAGAGGAAGGCACTGAAGGAGGGAGATATGGAGAGACCATGTGGCCCACCCTCCGTAGAGGAAGGTACTGAAGGAGGGAGATATGGAGAGACCATGTGGCCACCCTCAGTAGAGGAAGGTATTGAAGGAGGGAGATATGGAGGACCATGTGGCCCACCCTCAGTAGAGGAAGGCACTGAAGGAGGGAGATATGGAGAGACCATGTGGACACCCTCAGTAGAGGAAGGCACTGAAGGAGGGAGATATGGAGAGACCATGTGGCCCACCCTCAGTAGAGGAAGGTACTGAAGGAGGGAGATATGGAGAGACCATGTGGACACCCTCAGTAGAGGAAGGTACTGAAGGAGGGAGATATGGAGAGACCATGTGGCCCACCCTCCGTAGAGGAAGGTACTGAAGGAGGGAGATATGGAGAGACCATGTGGCCACCCTCAGTAGAGGAAGGTACTGAAGGAGGGAGATATGGAGAGACCATGTGGCCACCCTCAGTAGAGGAAGGTACTGAAGGAGGGAGATATGGAGACACCATGTGGCCCACCCTCAGTAGAGGAAGGCACTGAAGGAGGGAGATATGGAGAGACCATGTGGACACCCTCAGTAGAGGAAGGCACTGAAGGAGGGAGATATGGAGAGACCATGTGGCCCACCCTCAGTAGAAGAAGGTACTGAAGGAGAGAGATACTGAGAGACCATGTGGCCCACCCTCAGTAGTGAAGGAAGGAGACATGTGGTCAATTGAAACAATTTATCAAATAATTATGTCAATGATGAAACAAACAATAAAAAAGTAAAATATGGAGATACTTCCACAACGTTGAAAATTTCTCTGCCATACAATGAGGGGGTCTTCCGCGATTCCTTTAATCTCAAGTGTAAGAAAGAACTTGAAGATTCCTTCCTTGGCCAATGATGTGATGGCCAGAGAGTTTATCCAGAGCATGCTCGAAGATCCAGCTCTGCAGGTCAGGGGGCCGCTGGACGATGGTGAAGGCCTCCATGATGACTGGCCTGATCCGCCTACAGGACCAGTAGCGGTGGGCCAGTGACAGGTCTCTGGACCCACAGGCGATGTTTGTTGTTTACATAAAATAAATACGCTGATGTACCTTAAAAAAAGATTGACGTTCAACCAATGGTAAAAATACAGTTAAACCTGTCTATAGCACCCCCTCTAAATAGCGCCTCCCTCTCTATAGCGCCCGATTTTAAATACGCAGTACGATGCGATTTACATTAAAAGTGATCTGTCTATAGCACCCTATTTTGGTGAGTCCTAAGATGAGGCGCTAGAGACAGGTTTAACTGTATATACCTTTTTAATTAAAGATCTATTTATGGATCGCTTTGTTTTCAAAATATCAAATATGTCAAGCCCAGATCATACCTTGACACAGTTGCAGTGAAGATTCATCCGTGACCCGACCACGTGCCTTCCCTGTGTCACCCTGGTTGACAATTTCAATCCACATGTCCCCGAGCGTGTCGTTCAGCCAGGAGCGGTGACCCGGTGTTGGTGACATTGTCACATCTCGCGACAGCAGGAAGGTGGTCTTCTTGCTGCAAGGTAGGTAGGACTGACTGTCTAATACTGTAAGTGTACACCACTTGTCTACACAAGCTGCTCGATGTTTGAACCTACAATATTACAGGTTCCATTTTGGCTACTTGCACTTACTAGTGGGATTGGACTTGTACAAGAATCATATGTATTTATTTTTATAGAGCCGACGATCTCTTCTATAGCCTAAACATTTACAATTTGCATATCTGGAGGATATACAGGGTGGCTGAAAAGTATGGTTCTCTTTATTTATGAACTTAAGGACAGTATTTAAAGCGCGTGGGAGCGTGAATTCGTGGTGTTTCGAAAGGCTAATGTTAATAAACTGTGTGCATAGAAAGCAAAGATTTCAACGTCTTTTATTTTTAATGATGCGTCCTTCATCTCATCGCGTTACGATCGCGCACCTGACCGAGGAAGGTGTTTGCCCTTCAGACATCGCTCGCCGGCTCAAGATCAACGCCAGAATTGTTAGGAGGATTGTAAAGCAATACCGGGAGCGAGGACATTATGGAGTGTTTTCAAAATCGGGCCGCCCAAGGACGGTCAACATTTCTGAAACACGGAAGACCATAAAGAAGAGGATTGCCTGAAATGACAGCGTCAGCATGAATCGCATCGCTTCTGATCTCGGAATCTCTAGGGCAGTGATTCTCAACCAATGTGCCGCGGTAATTTTGTGTGCCGCGAAATTCTAAAAATGTGCCGCCGAATTTTAGTCATATGATTATGTTCACGTTTGTATTGGTTTTTTCTTTTTTTCTTTTTCATTTTTTTACTTTTTAAAATAACGAAATTAGCAAATTGAATGTTAGAGATGCATATTACTTATATTTTGCATAGAAATATTGATACATAATTTGAATTTTCTTGCATTCAAGTTAGCAAAAGTGTGCCGCGAAATTCTAAAATTGTGCCGCCAAATTTTCAAATCTTTTAAATAATGCCGCAACAAAAAAAAAGGTTGAGAATCACTGCTCTAGGGTAAGAATGCAGAATATCGTGAAACGTGACCTGGGACTTCGCAGCTATCGTCTATACCATGGGCAAACCCTTTCCGAAGCTACAATGAAGAATCGCTTGGACAAGGCAAAGAATTTGCTCTCAATGATCCGGGTGGGCCGGCTTTCCGACATTGTGTGGACGGTCGAGATTTTCACAGTTGAAGTCTCCCACGACTTACAAAACCACCGTCAGCTTCTGTCTCCAGGAAACAAGGCTTCCAGGAAACGTCTGGTGCACACGAGGCTCAAGTTCCCGAAATCTGTCATGGTCTGGGCCGGAGTCACTTCTGAAGGCAAGACCCAGCTGGTTTTCATTGATCGAAATGTCAAAATCGACTTCCAAGTCTACCAAGACGTCATTCTGAGGGACTATCTGCTTCCATGGGCTCGATAACATTTCGTCGGTCGTAATTTCGTACTCCAGCAAGACTGGGCCCATGGCTCTCAGTCGACGATAGCCTTCTGCCAGCAGCCAGGGTTCTTTGGTAAAGACATGTGGTCTTCAAACTCTCCGGATATAAACTCGATAGACTACTCCGTGTGGAGTTACATGGAGGAAAATGTCTCTTCTTCTCCCCACAAAAGTTTGGAGTCCCTAAAGAAGGCTCTGCAGCGAGAGTGGGCCAAGATCGACGTCAACTACCCAAGGTGGAGTCTATCACCAAACACCTCCAGGCCTGCATCAAGGTCAAAGGAGCCCACTTCGATATGTTTCTTTAATAAATTATTTCCTTAATATTAGTTATTATATATGCTTTTTGAATTTTACAATTATGTGTTCATTTCACTGAGTTATTGCAAAACGTTTTTAGGACTATACTTTTCAGCCACCGTGTACAGAAAAAATAGTTTTAAAAAACGTGAATAAAAACGTGTTTGTTCCTCAATGTTTGAACACAATTATGACGTATCTCTATGGGAACGAAAATTAAAATAAACGTTTATAAGAGTTAAGTCTGGAACGAGTCACTACCGCCATCTACCAACCAAATATGTAACCATTTATAATAGAAGAAATTTATTTGTTATTAGTAGTTTTTTTTATTAAAGTGTTGTTCAACGAAAATATACTTTAAAAAAATTGTTAATATAAAATTTTATGTTTAAAAATTCACAAAATAATATCAATAAAAAAAATATCACAAACTAAGGGGCGACGGTGGCGCTCGAGTGGCGGAAATGTGAACTAAAATTGGCTTCATATTTTGACACGGCGTTTAAAGTGAGGTCACGTGTGTGGGGTTGTGGTGAATTTAAATAAACAATTATGTAAGACGCCACAACACACAACAATTTCTTTTAAACAAGGTGAAAATAATACAAAACTAATTTAGTTCCTATTTCTGCCACTCGAGCGCCACCGTCGAGCTGATATAGGTACCATAAAACTGACTAAATGAAACACCTTTTTAAATTTCGGTAATAAATAGAAAAAATATAGGTTTTAGAATAAACGCGGTGGTTTGTATGTTGACCAGATGTTTCCACAATATTTGACGTACTCGGCAATGAAAATTAAAATACACATTAGAGTTGAGTCGGGATCGAGACGCTATCGCCATCTATCAACCAATTTTATAACTATTTATAATGGAATATATTTTATTTATTGCCAATAGATATATACGTATAGCTCAATAGAAATATAATGCTAAATAATAAACATAATTATATATTAAAATACATAAAAATTGCATTCATTAAAATATATCAGAAAGTTAATCGAATTTTCTAAGCCCACTTTATAGACTAAATTTAAGCTCGACGGTAGCGCTCGAGTGGCAGAAATAAAAACTAATGGATTAAAATGGTTTTATATTTTCACTCAGTATTTAAAGTGATGTGTGTGGGGTTGTCATAATTGTCAATAAGCCATTAGGTAACAGTGACCCAAAACTCAAATTTCTTGTTGAACAAGGCCTAAATAATACACAGCTAATTTTAGTTCCTATTTCTGCCACTCGAGCGCCACCGTCGAGTTGATATTGGGTCCATAAAACCGACTTAAATGAAACATTTCTCTATAATTTAATCAAAATAAATTCTCCTTGTATTTATATATATAAACCAATTTGTATAATTATATAGTCACGGTAGAGAAGTCAAGTATTCCAAAAACTTAA